TTACTGTTTTGAAGAATGAAATGATGGACCCTTATGTTCTTTTTATACCGTCTCTAATTGATTCTCAAGATTCTTCTCCTGATTTGAAAATTAACAATTTAGTATTTATGGATGACTCTACTCTTATTTCCTCGTCAAAAGTTGGCATGAAATCTATGTTATCCATTACAGAAGAATTTTATCAAATTAATAACACTTCTGCCAATCACAACAAATATGTGTTAATTACTAATTCATTCTTTCTATCTTCGAGTTCTACTCTTTCCCCTATCACTTTTAATTTAGAATTATTCTCTTTAAATAGTATTCCTTCTATTGCTATTACCCCAATTTCTATGACAACTTCTTTTCGTTTTTTAGGAGTTTGGTTTAACATTAAAAGTTCCCGTGATTTTGTCAAAAAACAACTCAAACGTGAATGTTACTCCTTTGTTGTGACTATTCGACCTGCAAAGCTCTCTGCCAAACAAGTCGTGTATTTACATAATGCCATTCTTATACCAAAACTTGAATATCAGATGCAAGTTACTCACTTGTCTGAATCTGACTGTCACCTAATAATGAGAAGTATACGATCTGTAGTGAAACACAAAGCTAATTTTTCTTGTTTTCTGCCCAATCCCATTTTATTTTTATCTCAAGCTTTGGGTTTGATTAATCTGTTCGCTCATCAACGACAATGTCACATTATTAATTTATTTTTAATGGCTAATTCTTCTTCTTCTTTTATTCAATCTCTTTTTATTTATAGATTGCGTTTAATTCAATATAATTTTTTGATCCTTATTTCCCCTTTTTTAATTAAAGATTGGTCTATATGGTTCTCTCTTTTTTCTTTTAAGAAGGATTATATCGCATGCACTATTGCTCTCTTGAACTCTACTCCTTTTCGTTTGCTTCATACTCAACTTTTGAAGCTTCCGAACTTATTCCTGTTAGATGGACATGTTCCGTTATTTGAATGCATGACACCTAAAGCCTTTAAAGCTTATCTTCTTATCCTGTGTAAACGATAGCTGTTTTATTTATCTCAGCTTGTTACTTCTCAATGGACTCATTTAATCTCTTGAAAGGCTTATTATGACAACTTGGTTGGAAGACGTGGCCCTAGCCGTATTTTCTATTGGTACAAAGATATCCAACAATCTACCACCGTCCTCGACTCTAATAATTATTTGCTTGACAAATTTATTACTACGCCTGAGATTGGCTCTTCCTTTTATGAGTTGGAACCTTGTCTTTCTTCTCCCCCACTACTAAAAATTGGATTGTTTCGCTGGATGACTTTGGCTCTCCCATTTTTGGAAAACAACTTTTGGTCCAAGCAGGTCGTGGCACTTGCTTCATTGTTCATTGGATTTCTTCTAATTGTGAATCCTCGCCTGGTGAACTTATAAAGCTTTCCTCTTGCCCTGGTTGCGCTGCCCATATCCCTTTACCTGTTTCCAAAAAACGGAATGCTGATTTAACTCTTTGTACACCAACGGTCTCTCTACAACATTCGCTTATTTTGCCTACTACCAATGAGCGGATTAGACGTAATACTTCTGAAGTGACTTCTCCCTTTACTTGGGCTGATATAGAAGATGGTGTCCGTCTTTATTATAGTAGATTGGATTTTGCTTCTGATTCTCCTCCTGCAGATACCACTGTAGCTTCTGCTACTCCTATCACTGTTGAATCTTCGGCTGCCGCTGTTTTTGCGAACTCCCCATTAGTCGCTTCTGTGGAATCACGTTATATCTTTTTTACCGATGGGTCTCTTATTAATTTAGGTATTTCTGATACTTCTATGGGCTGGTCTTAAATGCAAATTGTACCAGATGCTGGCTTTCCTAACTCTATTGCTACTTATGCTCATGGCATTATTCGAGATAATCCTTCTTCTTTTCGAGCTGAAGCTGCCACTATTTACGCAGTTTTAACCATTTCTCCTTGCAACTCAGATGTTACTATTTATACTGATTCGCAAACTGCTATTGATGGCCTTCGAAGTTGTTTTTCTTCTGTTTACTCGAATAGCCGTTTTTACTATAAAACTACCAACTTTGAGCTTTAGGCTATTATCGAACAAACTATCCTTTCCAAGAATTTGACTGTCCTTCCCATTAAAGTTAAAGCTCACTCCGGCAATTACTTGAACGATTTTGCTGACTCCTTGGCCAATACTGCTCATACTGCGTCATCCAGTATTTTAATTTCTGGAATGGACCTTGCCTCTGCCCATGATTTTGTCATAACTTATGATAATGATGTTGTCTGCGAATCTAATTTGAGGCTACTTCTCAAACAATATTATCAAATGCAGTTGATGCGTGATTTGTTACATTTAATGCATTTTCACTTCACTTCTTTATTATCTTCGAATATAGATTATGTTGTTGATTGGGATCTTACTTGGTTCGCTTTAAAATTCGAACCTTCTCACGACGCATCCTTTACTTTTGATCATGCTTCAAGACACTGAACCTTTAAATTCAAACTTTTCTTGGATGAACTACCCATATTGGAAAAGCTTAAAAGGACCCGACCAGACTTATACATAGACGTTTTAACTTGCCGTTTTTGTATCGATCGCATGGAAGACTTGATGCACCTTTTTATGTGCAAAAAACATCGTTTGCCTATGCAACAAATCCTCCAATCTTATCAAAATCATTTGATTTCCAAGATTCAGGAAGTCGGAGAACTGGCTGATATTGATCCTACTCTATTTATTACTAAACTTACTTCTCTTTCATGCTGGTCCTTTTCTTCTACAAATTGGTCCTCCTACGCCCTTGTCCGTGACTGTTTGCCTAAACTTTTTATTGACTTATTTGTTGATTTATCTATTCCAAGGAATTCTGCGATGAAGGTTATCGCCGCTATTCATAACAATTTTGTTCAGAAATTCAGAAGACGAATTTGGAATTCGCGTTCTTATGAAAAAAGTAGATGGGAAGACGCGATGAATATTACTTATAAGTTGAAAACTACTTCGAAGCCATCTAATTTGCCATTGTCAACGTACATACCTTACTCATCTTTACCACCTCCGACCCTACACGATTCACATGATTCCAGAACCAATTGGTTGAAGAACTCGATAAAATATGGTTTACCTTAGTTTAATCACTTTTCGGGTTTTATGGGTCATCTAACGGTGCTACTTAATAACAGCTTTTGCAGGATGGAGTATCGATTTATATAGTGGGAGAGCTATTCGTTATTTTGTTAGCATAGTTGCTTCTACTTTAGTTGGAATATATCAAGGGGGAAGATCTGGGGAAATTTAGTGTAATGCGATTTTTCTTTTTTAGATTAATTTTTTACTTTATTTTTTCTTAGGAGACTATATAGCTTTGTTTTTAGTTAGTTTTATTTTTATATTTTCTTTTTATTTTTTTTTTGTAAATTGTAAAGTTCGAATAAATTTAATAAAGATAAAGGCTACTATGCCACGTTTGCCTAGTTTTTGACCAGTGTATCATATCCAGGGCAATTATTGACAGTTCTAGGGAGATCATATCCTGTTCTACTCATTTTATGTTCAGTTACAAGAATTCTGCCATATTTGTAACAAACTGTATCTGGAGAGATATTTGAAATAAATTTAGACATTTTAGTGTTTTATAGCTGATTTACAGAGTTTATCATAGTATTAGTATTATATGATGATTTACAAAGTTTATACATCATATTAACAGATTCATTTTTGTCCTGCAGTCCGCAGAATTGAAATGGTTAATCTGATAAAAAATTGAGAAATAATTGGCGTAAGATAACAGGTAAGTTTACCACTAACCCTATGCAGTATATTCCACTGTGTAATCCAGCCAAGTATATACACATTTATGATAGGGCAACAGGTTTTATTACAGTCAAGAATATGTCAAAATAGAGTAATAGGCGTGTTTGATTACCCTGAACTTTGCGAATATCTGGAATTCTGATGCTAGAGGTCTGGAGTGACGATCAACAACTAAATGTTTGTTTGAGCCACAGCCCTGTGGAAAATCTTACCACACCACTCTTGGTTACACAGTGATATTTAGCGTCACATTATCACGTGATATCTGCGTTCGCATTTTTTATATTTATCTGAGGGGCAAATGTATTCTTCTTGACCGGTCAGGTGCTATTTTCTTGACCCATCAAAAAATATGCAAGTTTATGCACCCCTTTCACATTTTTTTCTTGACCACATAATAAGTGATAAAATCGCGTCATCACTTTATATTTTTTCATCGTAAAAAAAAAAAAATTTTTAAAAATTTATATTGTAAATCTCTTTACGTTGGTAAAGCAAAGCTGGAACTATTGTGGTGCCAAGCTTATTTTACACCTTAATACATAATGAATAATGAAACAACCGTTAAATATTTTAATTTTATTATTACTAAAAATTATAATGAATATATTTATTCAATAATATGGTAACAGTGTTGAATTATTGAAGAGAATTAGAAATTAGGGTAAGTTACTTCTGTTTTCAACATTTGAGAATGAATTATTGTTTGAAAAAGAATTAATTGAAGAAAATGTAGGTGAGAAAAATGAGTTTTAGGAGTTAGGAGTAAAATTTGACTATGAATGTAACATATTAAGTGAGTTTTGGGAGTTAAGAGTATAATTTGACTGTGAATTTAACATATTAAGTGTTTCGTGGAATTGTAAATTTGTAGGTAATGAACTAGGAAAATTGGTTAATGGTTGTTGAACGTTGGTAGAAAAATCTATATATGATTTATATAAGGGTGGCGAAATGCTAGTAGAAGAAGGAAAAATATATGGTTCTTGCTGAGAGTTTGTAAAAAAATTCATATTGGAATGAATAGAACTTTCGTTATATAGCAAGTTGTTTGTGTTGTAGTAAGGTTGAAGCTGTTGAGTTTCTGTAGGGGTATAAACAAGTACTTGTTCTTCTTTACCTTGTTCCTAATAAAAATAATTTCATTAAGTAATGTAAAAGTGTAAATAATATTGTTATAAAATAAAATGATTGTTACTTTAGTAATTCAGATATTTTTTCTTATTCTTTTAGTGTTTCTTTTTTCTGAAGCAGATGAGTCGGGTTCATTATTAGAATTTGATTGAAGGGTTTGAAGAATTCGTGATGGTTTACGCAGTTTTGCCATAACTTTTGGTGGAACCCCTTTATTAGAAGTATCACGTTTACTCAATTCTGGTGGTTTAAAAGGATCTGAATTGCGTTCAGAAATGTTATTCCTTGGTAAAAAGACTGATCCTCCTAATTTTTAATAAATAAATATTATAAAACTATAAACCATAATTTTTTAAATGAATTTTGACGGATTTTTACCTTGTAAATAATAAAGTCTGATTATTTCATTATATGCTATATCAGTGTCTTCTTCGTAAATTAATCTATTTTTGTTTTCAGCAGCAACCACTTTTTCTTTACTTTTAAAATAAGTGACAAATTTTTCTTTTGTTTGTCTAACAAATAATTCCTTGTTTAAATGTAGATTTGCTTCATGAAAAAGGCGTGCTGCATGAACATGTTTGCAAACATCCTGAAAAGGCCCATTCCAGATATAATCGTAACAAACCATACATTCACCTGTCAAAATATTTGTCAAATAATATCCCTTTCTACACAGAGCTTTATCCAAATGTTTTTGTTCTAATTTTTTAAATAAAGGTTTTAAACTGTCTATTGCTCCCTTATTTAACTCAACATATTTTCCATTATATGGTGATTCAAATATTTGGGAATTATCAGACTTTCGAACATAAAAATAATCTGAATGATTTGAAGGTTCAACAAACTCCAGCAAAAAATAAAGCCTTCCGTGATTAAGTCTTCGAAACTTATCAGATGATAATTTTTTTGGACAATTTTCCTAAAATACATATTTTATTTAATATTAATATTAAATATTAAATAATGCAATTAAAAATAAAAAACACAACAATACTCACTTCTTCAACTGATTTCATATCAAACAGTGTTGCTAAGCCTGCTTCAAATTGCATTTGTCCTGTATTTTCAGTTATATTTTCTCGCTTTAATTTCACTCCATATAATCGTTCAACAAAATGTACAACTGTTTGAATTCCACTATAATTTGCTTCTATTGTTCGATTTAATCTTTCTGTAAAATTATTTGTAGTCATTATGCATTCAAAATTTTGTAAAATACGTCCAGCATTAATAAAAGATAATCTCCATTCATCACATAACCAATTTTGGTTTAAATCAGCTATTAATTTTTGTTTGATATTATTTGGTAATTTTAGTGAGTTAACAAAATTCTGATAAAGTAAACCAAGCTCCTTGGATTTATTTTCAGTTCTACTTCGGCCAATAATTTTAAATGCTAATGCTAAAGGATATCTAAATTTTAAAGTAAATTAATTTATGTTTTTTTAAATATATTATTATATTAATTTAATATAGATATTTACCGTAATGACCATGGAATATTCCATTGATTAAAATTTTCTCCAATTGTTTGCATTATATGAAACCAACACAGTATAGTTCCACGTAAAATATTTGTTACAGCAATTTTAGATGGCCTGTGTTTATCAGTCATAATGAAAGGATTCCAATTAAAAGAATTACATTCTCTTACTCTTTCAAATTCCATTCTATTTGGTAAATTAACGTAATTCCATTTATGTTCACAATCATCCCAATCACATGGAATATTTTTTTTTATTGCTATTATAGATTATTTTATTGTCCATTGGTTTTCTTTATTACTTAATCCTAAAACATAAATATATTTATTATTTTTATTTATTGTTTAATACATTAAATTGTGTAAAAATAATTATTCTTACCAAAAGCAAGTGGTGTTCCAGAACCAGCATTATTTTCAACAACAAAAACCAATACTGGAACCCTATCATTATTTAAATCATGTTTTGAATCCATTCCAATACATTCTTGACCAAATTTTTTACCATTTCATAACCAAAATTCATTAGATAAAGTAAGCTGATAAAAATGCTTTTCATCTTCAAGTTGTGAAAGATCAGGTTGTTGGTAGAATAAAACATATCCCTTTGGTTTTAATATTTCTATTACCAAATAATGCAAAATAGTCCATGGATCAGCATTTTCTTTTAATCTGCGATCATCACGCATTAAGAAAGATCTAAGTTTATCATGATTACATATTTGATGTTGATTTGTTAATGCTTCTTTTAATACATTTTCTTCTGCTCCATTAAAAGGTGCCAATAATTTTGATTTAACTGAATTAGCTGTACGATGATCTGATCTACGATCAACTATAATATTATCTCGAACTTGTCGTGATAAATTTAATCTAGAAATTTTTGGGCTATGTATTGGAATATTTGTTGGTAAATGCAATCCAACTATTTTGATTTTAAGAGGTTTTTCTTTATTTAACCAGGAAAGTTTTGATTCTGAAATAACACGAACTTTACATAAATGCATATCATAATAATTTTTTACATTATTTTTAAGAGAATAATTTGTACATGTTTCTTTACAACTACCAATTCCTCCACATTCATGTTGACAACTATTTCTTTCTCCTGAACAATACTACATGACCCAAGACCAACATATTCTATCTTTTTTTTCTTTATTTTCTATTTGTTTAATATAATCTTCACCTTTAGATGTTAATTTGACGATATCATCAATCCTATGTGTTGATTTTATTTCACCATCTTTCGTATTCCATTCAATAAAATCAACTGCACCTTCTACCCAACATATTTTAATAACATCTGCTTTAATTAATTCTGGAGTTCTTTTTCGACTTTGACATTTCAAACGAATATTTTTTAATAATGGATGGTTAAAAATATACTATTCGGCAACTCTTCCAAAAGGTACATTAACACTATTATCATCATTATATTAAATTAAATGTGCAAAATTTTCTTCCATTATAAAAGAAAATTTTTTGTCTTATTTGAAATTTAAAATACAATAAAATAAAGTAATAAAAATATAAAATAACGAAAATACTAATAACAGAAGGCTTTGTTTAAAAAAAAATGATGAGAGGTTTTGTTTGAAATTTAAAATAAAATATAGAAAAGTTTCGTTTAAGAAAATAATGACAAAAAGTGATAAACAAATAAAAGTAATAACGCGATTTTATCACTTATTATGTGGTCAAAGAAAAAAATGTGAAAGGGGTGCATAAACTTGCATATTTTTTGATGGTATTACGGAAAGGAGTATGGTTGGGTCAGCGTGATGAGTAGAGTATGGTGACATTTGGCGGTGTGTAACATAAGAGTGCTACGGAAAGGAGTATGGTCGGGTCAGTGTGATGAGTAGAGTATGGAACTCTATGTGACAGTTTACTCAAGTGATAAATAACACGACAGGCCAAACACGTGATTTGGAGTGGGCCGAGATGCTATACATTACCTGCGTATGGTTCACACCCCTTATGTTATACACCGCCAAATGTCACCATACTCTACTCATCACGCTGACCCAACCATACTCCTTTCCGTAATACCGGTAACATAAGGGGTGTGAACCATACTCAGGTGATGAATAGCAGCTCGGCCAACTCTTAATCACGTGTTTGGCCCGTCTTGTTATTTATCACTTGAGTAAACTGTCACACAGGGGTCCATACTCTACTCCTCACGCTGACCCGACCATACTCCTTTCCGTAGCACTCATTTTTTGATGGGTTAAGAAAATAGCACCTGACCGGTCAAGAAGAATACATTTGCATCTAAGGGACTTAGTTTTTTTTTTACTAGCCTGATCTCTATTTGTCACGCACCTCAGACATCACACCCCCAACAAATATTTGTGTAACCGAGGGTGGTGTGGTAAGACTACCCCAGGAGCAAAAATTACCTTCTTGACCCTTCTCGTATTACTTTCTTGACCCAGTCAAAATATGCATGATTATGTATGACAAAAATGTTCCTTTCTTGACCTGAAAGTCTGAAACGCGATTGTGATAAACAAAAAAGAAATTTTATTTTTTATTTATATTTAACAAAAATAGCGTGCAATCTGTCTTTTGCGAGTTGCGAGCATGGTCAATACTTTTTTATTTCTACAATATTGATAAAATTAAAATAATTTTATTTTATTTACAAAAGATAGCTGATAAAAAGATTACATTTAAGAGAAATACATTAATTAGGTAATAAATACTAGCATAAAACTAAATATTAAAATATTAAAATAAAAAAAAAAATAAATTATTTTGTCATTTAATCATTAATGATAAAAAAATTTAATCTTTGTGTATATCTCTTGAAAAATTATGAAAATAAGAAAAATAACAACGCGTTAATGTTTTTTGCAGGTCAAGAAAAGAACATTTTTGTCATACATAATCATGCATATTTTGATCAAGTCAAGAAAGTAATACGAGGAGGGTCAAGAAAGTAATTTTTGCACCCCAAGATAATCAGATTGTTTAACCATGCGTGATGATCCCTATCAAATGGAGTGTTTTTCCTAACCGCAGTGTTAATCCCATTTAACGTGGGAAAGGGGTATTTTGAAATTTGAAGTATAAATACAAGAGAGTTAATCTTTGCATTGAACTGTTAATGCAAAATGTCAGAAGTCATTCTTCTGTGTTTTCTTGAAGGTGTAGAAGAGCCATTTAAGTATTAGTCGACAAGGCTGATACAATTAAAGGTCTAAAAGAGTTGATCCTAAGCAGGATGAGAAGGGTCATTAACGAAAAAAATATCGCAACAGATGAATTTAGAATTTGGAAAGTGTCCGTTCCTGTCGATAAAGTGGATATTCTACGAGAAGACCCATCCAAGCTTTTAAAGAATATTAAGTTACTTAGAGACGAACAAAATATAACATCCATTGGAAAATTTCTCGATGATCATATTCAGGTCTTCATGGGCCATCCCGATTCGATGATAGAGATTTTTTGTCCTTCGTTACAGAAGATGAGTCCTGGGTAGCTGATTCACACAATAATTTCTTTTCCCTATTCCTCTGTCTAATCTCATTGTTGACCCTTTTCTTATACACCTCACCTAAGAAATTGTCTGTCTCCCTTTCCTCCATTGACTTGATGTTTGTGTTATCACTAGGTGCTCTATTTATAGGCTGATCGATCAGAAGCATCTGGCTGTGGTACAGTTGTTACCTCTGATACCTCTTCTCCAACAGAACATGAGTTCTGCATGTTAGTAACGTGATGTGGTTGCTGAGGCCTCGTGAGATTGGAGGAATCGAAATCATATCTTAGTTTGGCTAATTCAGCTTTAAGTTCAGCATTTTCGGCTGAAATATCTACACTATTTTCTCCAATTCTTCGATTCTGACCTTGTGTTCGGCATTCTCAGCATCACGCCTGGCATTCTCCTCAATAATCTGTCTCAATTTCGCATTCTCATTCTTAAGCTCACCATTCTCGCCCTCGATTTCAGCAAACTTCTTTCTGAGTTTGGCAATCGCTTGGCATTTAATTCTCTCAATGAATCAGTGGATTGCATGTTTGATGATAATTTTTTATATAAGATGGAATAATTCAAAAATTCGTTAGCATAGATAAACCGTGACAAAATGCCACGATCAGAATTACTGATTTATTGATGTGAAAAATAAATTACAAGATTCGGTAATATATAGACTTGTTTTACAAAGTGAAGTAAAGTTTCTATACTAATGCCTGCAGACCACACCAGCTTTTCGCTTGCCTACACTACTAATACACATTATCCCACTCCATGATCCGGTTTCATTGACGGTCGCCAGTTATACTTAGTCTGCAGTGTCAGAAAATAAATCAATGGATAATAACATTAACCTTACGCCGAAATTTTATGTTGTTTGCAATCCGTGATTCTTTACAGAATACAGACCGGTGAGATCGGTGAAGATATCGTTAATCAGATCCAGTGTCGTATAGATCATTCAAAACAAGCCACCAACATAAGAAAAAAAAAATTTAAAATTACGCACGAATTTCAGGCACAAAGGAAAAATACTAGAAAAAGAAATTAACAATTTAATTTTTAGTAAATGTAAGAATGTAAATTATTTTCTATTGATATCCGAATGAAAGTTCCTTTTAAACCTACATCCATTTCTTAACATTAATTTTAAGTCCATAATTGAACGGACTTTACAAAATTTGAATCAGAGAAAAGTGAATTGTGTGGTTAAATACTTAAATTACAAAATAATCGGCATAAATTTTAATAATGTGAAAGACCTTACACATTGTTAAGCAATGTGAACATTAAAAAATATTATTTTACAATATTTATCCCATCTTTAGGGAATAAATATTTGAGAAAATCAATAATGAATTAAATAATGGCAGTTATTTGAACATTACAGAATTCCCACACCTTACACGCCTTCAAACTTTATGCTTGCCATTTAATATCGAAGGTTAATAATTGAAAAATCTGGCGGGAAATTTTAGAAATTGATTCATGTCATTCACTTAAGTTTTTAGACTATCTAATCGTGAAATCAAATCACTGTTCAAAATTTGACCCTAAAAATCTCAAAATATATTTTATAACAAAACCCAATGGAGACAAACTATTAAAAGTTATGAGCAAGGGGCAATCTAATCAAAACTCTGAGTAAATTTGAAATAATTTATGGACCTTTTGGAATACCTACGAATATTACCTAACTTGCCTCTTTCAGTAAGAAAGAAAAACTACTGTTCTTGAAATATATCAATTCCTATAATTCCTATAAAATTTTACAGAAAAGTTAAAAAATACTATTGAATCTACCACTTTTCTTAATCAAATAGTATAGATGAGAAGTTTTTTAAAAGTAATTTTATTATTTAATATTTAACATTTATTTATTCTTTAAAGTACATTTTTATCATAATTCCAAAATACCTTCACCGGCTATTATCACAAGATCCTTTTCATGATCCTGCAATATCACCTAATAAAATATTCATGATCCTAAAACACCACTGCCATCATTTCAAGTTCTCAAAAAAAATTAAATACGGAGCCCGTCAATAAATAATTTTATACTGTATTAAATAAAAAAAAAAAATTTTTATAGTTCTCCTTTATATTCCTAAGTTTCCTAAGTTTGTAAAAAATCTTACAAGATATTTATATTTAATAGAGAAAAAACGCGTTTTTATTTTCAAAACAAAATAGATTACAATATATATTTAAAGACGAAATTACAGAGGTGACAATTGTGAGCTATTTCATCGATACTATTTTTAGACTAGTACAAATTCACGTTACCGAAAATTTTCAACAATGGCAATATCTTGAATTGGCAGTTACTGTTCGGTTATTTTTTTTTTTTTGCATAAATGCATCAGGAAAATTCTGTACTGTGCGTGTTGACCCAATTTTATTAAGTACGAATAAAAAATTACTTTTTCATACAAAACAATTATACATCACTACGGCTTTTATGTTGTAATATTACAATACTGGCACTTTGGCAAATCAATTTTTCCGAGACATTTGGGTCAAATAACAAAGTCTTAAATAAATATGAATAAATAGCTTGAATGTAAGATGATAAAGCTTAATGATAATAGAAATACATGTGACAGTAAACTTTATTAGAAAAGAAACTCTATTCTACAATCACAATCATGCTAATGCTATCTATATAATAACCTTTAGTCTCCGTGCATGTGATCGTGATTCTATAAATATCGATGGTGACCCAGTTTATAAAGCAGATCCACACCTTAATTTTTGTGGAATGTAATCCCAAAATATTCAACATAAAAAGAATTATTTACATTTTAGGAATATGTTTTATAATTGTAAATTACGTATCGAAATGTAAATAATTTCACAAATTACAATAATATTATTATATTTGAGTTAAATTTTCGTTCGCAATTAATATACATTATCTAAAGAATACACTCTTAATTTCAATAATATGAGTAAATTACTACAAAAACCGAAAAAAATGTCGTCCATGTTTTCTACTATATTTTTTTTAATGTGCGCTTGCCTTTTGACGCTTTAGAATCTTCATTCATTTTTCTACTTCGAGTAATTACTTGGATTTCCTCCTCATCCTCGCGTTCTTCGCCATCTTCATTATTATTTTCGTTTTCACTTGAATATACCAGCTCTACACCATTTTCTACATGTCCATTGGCGTCCCCCTCGTCATCTGTATCTATATCACCATCTCCCAGTTCTTCATTATTTCTCGATTTTCTTGCTCTTTTAGACGTTAACTCCTTTTCCATCTTACGAAGGTTTCTATTAAGAGCACGCCATTCTTTCATTAAAGACCTGAGTTCCTCCTCGGCATCATCATACATTTTTTCCTTTGTTTCTGAATCCAATGTAGGATCGTCGAATTTGAATCTGGTAATATTTGTTTGAGCAGCTTCGTTTAACTCTTCTATAATCAAAGGTGGTGATGTCAACGGCGTTGCAGATGGAACATTATCTTCCTCCATAATTTCTATCAACGGTTCGTTGTTTTTTCCCGTTGATGTTTCAATTATTGTTTCTGTTACATCTATAGCCATTTCTACCAATGTTTCAACCATAGTAGACGTCGCATTAGGTGTTGTGGGTGAAGGTACCGTAGGTTCTTCATCCACTAATTCGTCCGCAGAAACACGCTTAATTTTCCGATTTCTCGAATTATCTTCATCTGACTTGTCTGTTAGACTGCTGCGTCTTCTTTTTGGACTTTTATTAGTCTCCACGTTTTCTATCTCCATATTATCTTTTGTTGTACCAGTATTAGACTGAGAATCTTGGGAATCCTGAGAATCAATATTTTCTGTCTCAGATTTTCGCCTACGGCCTAATGATGGTGGACTTGCTATACATATATCTATAATGTTCTCTTCTTCAGATGGTTCACCTTCCTGAGAAGCTTGAGAACTATGGTTCCCACTATTTGTTATTGATGATTTGCTTTTTATTGATGAGCTATTGCGACGTATTGGCGATTTATTTTTTTCCACTTCCGCAGTTTTATAATTGGATTTTGATCCACCTTTAGACGTACTTGTCCTTCTTTTAGTTGAAGACATTGTAGTTGTAACTGGAGTAAGTTCTTGATTCTCCCCTAACGGTCTTTTCCAATAATCCCACTTAAAAGCTTTATTGGGTTCACCTTTAATTTTACATGTCAAAGCTCTACGAACTCCAATATGACTTGAAAATTTATCACAAGTATTTTTAAATGTAAGAAAGGGTTCTGCGTCTGGAATAAAATGTTTAAGACCTTTATATTCGACCACTGAGCTTCATATAATAATTAGTCAGCATTGAAATAATACTACTTATAAGAACATAAAATAACACGTAAAGATTTTAATACATACTACGTCATATCTTCAAAATATCTTACAAGAAATTTTCCTGCAAGTAAATTTTCTTCAAGTTTACCATCAACATCCATCGATTCATCAATTTCGTCGTTAGGAACGATCTAATTTTTTTTAAAAAAATTATAAGTATTATTGGTTTGTATCATCCAAATACAAATTATTAATCGGTACCATTGCCGGCCACCAAAATTCAGCTTTATCATCTAATGGATCAACTAAAAGAAATGAAAATAAATTGCAATAATTTAAATGAGAATAAATTCAAAACTTGTTGCATCGCGAAGCTTTTAAGTAACCATACCAAATACAATGTCTCGACCTTTAAAATCATGATCCGGTTCCCAATCTTTTGACCCTTTTGTTGCCTTTCGCTGAGACTTTCGCGTTTGAGGTTTTTTAGGTGCGATAATTACCCTAAGCCTTCTTGTGCTTCGTGTTAATTTACGAGCAGCGATTACTTAATGCAAAATACTTTATAATTTTAGTAAAATATTTAAAAAAAATAAATATTTTATTGTAAATTGAATTACCTCCTTCTTCCTCTATTTCATCATCGTCTTCACTTTTAAGTGCCTCTAATTTTTCGTTATTCTCTTCTGGGTGTTGTGATTCTTCTTCGTAATTACTTTCATCTTTCGATTTTTTCATATCTTTTCTAGGAGTTTCCTTAGTCTCTTCCAAGTCAGGAAAGTCCGTAATAAGCCCCGGAGAGTCATGCAAAGGTAGTTCCGGTTCAAGTAATTCACCTTCCATGATATGATCTTCCTCTAGCTGAATGTTTTCTTGTTCGACATATTGTTCGTCTTTGTCAATTTGCACTGTTATTGGGTTAGTTTCGCTGTCTTCTTCGGTTTTTGTGTTCTGACTTTTTTGCCTTCTAGTTATTCTACGTCTCATATTCGTTGTTTTTTTGTTTCTAACACTGTAAAAAAAAGGTTATATCAGTGAAATTTGTTATATATGTATATAAGAATAATTATTAATGAAAGTGAATTTATTGTACTTGCGTTGTTAAATCTTCTAGTATTTGATATTTTTCTTGTGGCTTGTTAATCTCGTCGGCGCGTGAGTGAACTGCTCCCTTTTGTCCTTGACTAAAAAACTCCCAGCGTAGGCGTTCGTTTGTACAAAACCACGGTTTGTTAGCACCGTTCTATTATCAAAGTAATATAAAGTAAAAATAAAGTAAAAAGTTTGTATCAATGAGAATAAGTGATAAGTGCAAAAATAAGTCAAAAACAATGAAAGCTCACAGGAGACGGCGACACAGAGGTCATAACTGTGTTCACGAGCTACTTTATGCGGAATAATATTTGAGCAATATAAGTAAAGTAATTCCGCTTGAAACAGAGATGGCGAGAACCTTTGTTTCGTGGCTTCAAAAGGAAGAAGGAATAACTAATGGGAAAGGAATGATGCCAGTTTTTTTTTGACTATTTTATACCATTCGATAAAGATTTTTGATTGGTCAGTTTAATAATTTGTTGTAACACAATTTTGCAGTAATAATCATAAATAAAATTTGTTTGATTATTTGAAATATCACATTTTATGATAAATAAAAAACCGAAATACCCAATCTCTCGTAATTTTGGACGAATTTTTTTTAACTTTTTTTTTTTAATAAAATTATAATAAAAATGATTAATTTTTACCACTATATGGAAAATATTGGATAATGGAAAATGGATATAATATATTTGGTTGGATCAACATCTTCAACTGCGCTTTTGTTACTTACTAGGCGTAAGGTTAAATAAGCCACCGAGATTACTGATGCGAAATATAAAAGGAAGTACCTATCCTTTGTTATTAATTAACCTTTTGAAAAACACATTATTATTTATTTATTTTTTCTTCTAATTATTTCAACTTGAAAATGTTGAAAATGAGTGAAGTACAACAATGTCAAGGAGCTGGCTGTACAAAAGAAGCAAAATTACAATGTCCAACATGTTTAAAACTAAATATTTCAGGGTCTTTCTTTTGTTCACAGGATTGCTTCAAGAAAAATTGGGTACGCATATTGTGAATTGTCGTTAAATCTTGTAATAGTATTGACGCGAATTATTTTCCAGCCTACACATAAATCGGTACATCAAACTTTATATATACCTAATTTTCCATATACTGGAACTTTACGTGCATTATACCCTTTATCTCCAAGAAGACAAGTTCCTTCACGTATAGAAAGACCGGATTATGCCGATCATCCCCAAGGTTTTTGTTCTCTTTCAACGTATAATTATTTCTTTATTAAGAGAAATATTTAAACTTTTGTCCTTTATAAATATTATAGGCATTTCAAAGTCTGAAAAGACTGCAAAGGCTAATACTTTCATAAAAGTGTTGAATAAAGAAGAAATTGAAGAAGTGCGAACAGTTTGCAAGGTTAGAAATATTTAACCACTTATTATAATTATTCTTGTCATGCTTCAGCAACATTAATTTTTCTTGGATTATTAGCTTGCACGCGAAGTTTTAGATATTGGTGCCGCTACAGTAAAACCTGGCGTAACAACCGACGAGATTGATCGAGTTATTCATGAAGCTATTATCGAGCGTGACTCGTATCCGTCGCCTTTGAATTACTATGAATTTCCAAAATCCGTTTGCACGTAATAAATAAAATTTAAGTCACGTGATTTATTTAAATTGTTTTGTTTTAACATAATATTTCACTTTAGTTCAGTGAATGAAGGTACGCAAAAAATCGTGAAACAATTCATCGTAACACAGCTGACGTCATATTAAATAATTACTAGTTATTTGTCATGGAATTCCGGATCGGCGAGAACTAGTGGAGGGAGATATTGTTAATCTGGATGTGTCTTTATATCATAAAGGATTTCATGGAGATTTAAATGAAACTTATCCGGTTGGAATTATTGATGAAGAAAGTATAAAGTTGATCAAGACTGCAAAAGATTGTTTAGATAAAGCCATCGATTGTGTGAAACCAGGATTTTTGTATCGTGATCTTGGAGCAGTTATTGAAAAAAATGCCAAGGCGAATAATTGCTCTGTTGTCCGTACTTATTGTGGCCATGGCATTCATAGGTGTGACAACATCACAGAATTTTTATTTTTAGTTAGTTATAATATTATAGTATTCTAACCCATTTTTAAAATAGATTATTTCATTGTGCACCAAATGTTCCTCATTATGCGAGTAAGTTTCAACTTTTTTTATAAATATATGAAATGTATAGAATGTATAGAATGTATATTTTATAATTTTAATTTTAATTATAGAAAATAAAGCCATCGGAACGATGAAACCTGGACACTGTTTTACGATCGAGCCAATGATAAATCTTGGTGCGTAATATTAACAAAATATAATTACATTATTATTGATTTGTTGACATCGCATGCTTTTTATTATAGGTACATATCATGACAGACATTGGCCAGATAATTGGACAGCAGTAACTGAAGATGGAAAACGTAGTGCACAATTTGAGCACACTTTATTAGTAACAGAAACGGGAGTTGAAATTTTAACGGCTGGCAAAAATGAAAGACGATTTGTTCCTGATCCGAATACGGTGTTAAATAATACAGGAATTAAAAGTTTATAGAGAAATGCATTATTCTACATAGTTATTAATAAGCTATTGTTGAAAAATTAATGCTTTTGCTAATAGATAAACTTGCTTTTTGAAAGTTTATTTTCCTGGTAATAAAGATAAAGGATTAGCGTTTTCTAAATTTTTGAATGAATTGGGATAAATTCCCTTATAAGTCAACATGACAACAATTTTTTTTTTTACTTTAAAAAGTTTTAACTGAACATGATTAGTTTATTAATATTAAATTATTTCTTATATAATATTAGAAACAGCAGATCCAGATTTAGTAGGTTTGAGCTTGCATACAATAATCCCACAGATCTTAAAAATTTTATTTCCTTATTAATTATTAGTATTAATTTATATTTATGTAAAAAAAAAAACATTAAAGTCTCGAAAGCACCTCCGAAAGTAGCATCCTTTACCAGAATTATAGCAATTTTGGCCTACATTATGATAAGCATTATATACAAAAAAAGGTGCGACTTTGTGGTATTAATATTTGTTTAGATGCAGATAAATATTAGTACTAATAAAATATTCTACTCTATACTTCTGCTTTAATAATTAACTTTTTTTTTGTAACTTTGGTTATTTTAATTATTTTGAATGTATTCTATAGTGAATAAATTAGTAAATAAATTTACAAGTATTTATAAACTTATTGTACTACATCTTTTTTTTTTAAAAAAAATAAAATAAAATTATTTACGATTAGTATTAATAAATATTTAAATTATTATATATATATTTTTACTTAATTTATATCTTAAAATGTCTTTTACTAAAATATATCTAAATTTTATTTTATATTTAAAAATATATTGAAATAGTAAAAAAAATACCTTTAAATATAGAAACTATCATACCAAAAGGTAGTAATATATTAACTTATTTGATTTTGAGATTTATAATAGTTATATTGCTTATTAGTTTAACTTTTTGAAAACTATATATTTTTTATTTTAATCTATTAGTAAAAAGATGTAAAATTTGGCCTTTTTTTGTTCTTTTATTATAAAAAATTTTCACAAATTTGTATTTTTAATATTAATAAAAAATATAAAATATAACATTTATTTTAATAATAATAATACAAATAATAAATACTATTGTAATTGTATTAAAGAACTAAAAAATACATTTTTATTAAAAATTCAAATTAAAAAATATATAAGATAATTATAAAATAATATTTTAATGAAGAAATTATATCTATTAATAAAAATTTGAAATTTTACAATTAAGTAACTTTAAATTTGCTGAAAATTCTAATAATTTTATTAAAAATAATATCTATAATAATTTGCATTAAAAGTTAAAGAGGTTTTTAAAAAAGAAAAATATATATTAATACTGAAGCCATATGATGAAAAACTCTCTCTGATACCATTCATGTCCATTTTTCACACAAGAAATATTACGCTTTTTTCTTGTTAAATTAATAGAAAAATAGCACTTCAGTATTAAGACAAAAGTGTTTCTTGGTTAAACAACACACTTTTTATTATCACTCTTTTCAGTTCGAACAAATTCACAAGGGCTTAATAGTTCTTTATAGACATAAAAGTTTTGTTTTCTTGCGAAATTTTTTCAAAAAAAGGCGTAAATACGGTGCACCAATCAGATAAAGGATGTTGAATAAAGAAATTTTTATCGGCTATACTTTCTTCTGTCCAGAAAAAGTGAAACAGTACACAGGGGCTGATACGATATATTTCACCAGAAAAGGAAAGTCCTATATCCTTTTGCATGTGGATTCATTACAGAAAGAGAAAGATATGTTGACGATTGTTACCAACAATAGATATATAATTAAGAAATATGAAAGGCCTTTTTTGATAAATTCAGATCGGCCAATAATGAATACTAAATACAGGATTTCAAAATACTTGACAAGTGTATTTTGTGGGTTACCTATTGACATAGAAACTAGAAACAAGTATTTTTTAAGAATACGCCAATTATTATTGGATAAACTTGTTGTTATTAAAAATAGAATGAAGAAACAAGAAAAGAACAGACAAACTACAACTTATATTAAATTTAGTCATGGTCGAACATGGTATTTGGGGTTTTATATCCCATGCTCGTTTTGTAGTAAGTTCTATGCTTATGTTATGTCAAGAAATAAAAAAGTTTGTCAAAATTGTCGTTCGAAGGTGATAGTAACTCCTACACCTCCACCACAAAATGTGTTTAAGAATTTTTGTCAAGTTAAACAAGTAATAAGTAAACGCGTAGGCGTGTCTTATACAAAAAAAGTCTCGATGGACGGTGGAGCTGGAGCAGGTAAATATGCAGTTACGTATTCAAATTTACGTGTTAACAAGCAATTTAAAACGTTGAAATAACAAGAAAAGTATAAAAAGAGGTTTAAAAACAGCCTCAAGAGTAACAAGAATAAATGGCAGTTTACAAATAATGGAATTGAATCAAAGGTACTCATTTCCAAACATAGGTTGAAACGTAGAACTGATATTCTTAAGAAACATTATATATCAGAAAAAGAAATGGAGTTTCTGGTAAATCAAGTTACAAGTGAAAAAGGATACAAAATGTTAAAAGATGATATTTTTATAAATCATTCTTTTAATGAAGAACATTTTTTTGAATTAAGAAAAAAGAAGCTTTTTTTGAACGAAAAGATAGTAAGATAGCAGAACAGTCGAGTAGTGCTGGTCAATGTACTACGATAGACAATATTATTACAAACCTTCAGGAAATGGAAATTAGTGGACAGAATAATGTCGCTCCTTGGCAGGAAATACTCGGGAGGCAAGAACCTATTACAAAGGCAGAATTTCATCAGGAATTGAATAGTATTAGAGATAAATGTCTTTTAACGACATATTGTAATAGTGTTAGAAGAGGGAGGCGTGTACGTGATGTTACTCATGACTACGTGGTTAATCAATGTGCAATTAGAGCTCGTAAAATAGAGCAAGGTATGTGGTATTAAGTGGACATAAGTATATAATTAGTTATTCTTGTTTTATTTTTCTATTTTCTTTTGTGGGATGACTAATTGTTTAGAATTAAAATTATCAAAATGAAAAAATGAGTAATTATTTTGGTTTTAAACATTCACTATTTGATAATATTTACATAGGGCTATTTAGTTAGAAAGAAAAATATATAGATAGTTTATCTATTGAATTTTGTTATAGTTCTTACATCATTCCATATTTGATTATATTTATATATGGTAAACTATGTTTGAAAGAAAAATATATAGACTTCTTTTAGTAGTTTTAACGAATTATTTAGAAAAATTTTTTCGTTTATTTCATCATTCTGTATTCAATAGTATGTACATACAGCTTTTATTAATAAAGAAAGAATCATATATGCACGTTATTAATAACGTGTAGTAAAGAAAGAAAAGTAGTGCGATATTAGCGGTAAAGATAAAAAAGCTAAGTCACATAGTAAAAAACATACTGAAGTGTGTGTCAAAGATGTTGACTGTAATATGTTAGAAAGTAATTGGAATAAATGGAATGATTTGGCATTCCATCGAGGTGGTTATTATTGGGCAAATTTTTAGGTAGATCATAACAGTCACCTTTGAATTTGAGGTCGCATCATGGTTTTTAACAATGATGTGATCGTTTAGGTGATAGGTCGACTTGTTCTTTATAAAAAGTAGTCTTGTTTCATAATGCTTAATTCTTATATGTATTCGTTTATCTTATATTTGTAAGTTTATATATGTAAGTAAACGTAATTATAATAAAACATGATCGCATTTATAATAAAGTTTAAAAAAAAAAAAAAAAAAAAAAGACATAGGAGCAATCTATATGATAAGAAACTGGTTAAGAGTTTTAATAAATTAGTTATATACATAGCAAAAATTTCTGTACTTTTATATAACTAATAAATTCATAAATTGCACTTTGCAAATATATATATATATATATTATTTTGGTTTTAAAAAAATTGAATATAAATAGTTTTTTACATGTTAAATAAAATTTATTAAAAGTTTAAATAAAACTATATATTAAAAAATATAATTACTTTTAATTAAAAAAAAAAATTTAATAGCTTAATTATTAGATTGTAAAATATAATAAGTAATAACTATTCAATTTTTAAAATAAACAAAAAAAAAAAATAAAAAATAAAAAATAATAAAAAACTTAAATTGTTTAATGTTATATATTAGCAGCAGTATTAATAAATTCCAGTATATAAAGTTGTTTAATATTATATATTAATAGTAGTATTAATAAACTCCAGTATATGATATAGTTTAATGTTATGTAATATATTGATCAATACACTGAAATTAATCAATACATATATACTGATATGAATTAATACCTTTTAAACTTTTTGATGTAATTAATAGCACTTTAAATCTAGTATTCTGCACAAATTAAATTTTTTCTCTGAAATTTAATTTGATTTAGACTTGATTTAAACTTTAAAAAATATTATCTTAGAATCTAGTAATCTAATTTTAATAATTTTTTTTTAATCAATAATTCTTGTTACTCTGATTAAATAAAAAAAAATATTAAAATTGGATTGTTAAAAGATCTCAAACAATACTGATACAACTCACATTTGAGTTTGCATAGAGTTTATATTAAAATTTTTCAAAAGTTACGTATTACAGAAGTATTTTCAAAATTTTATTATCTTACATTCCCCTGTTTTTAATACAGTGATTCGATTTTAATAAAGTTTATATCATTAGGTTTATCTTGATGATAGGATTCTAATAATAGTAAAATCACATCCCTAGCTTCAATGTTGACAGAGTTATATCATAAAATGTATTTTTACTTTAGTATTTAAAATTTACTTGTGAATTATATTAGTATTATTTGGATCTTATTATTAGATCAAAAATTATTTGCAAAAAGTTTTTACCTTTCAGAATTATTAGAATCATACTGTGTTATGAATTGATTTATGCAGAATACTATTTGAATCTAACCTGATAGATCAAATAACCTGATAAATTGATCTAAAATATTTGAATCAAATCATTAAATTTATAATTTAATCTTAAATTAAATTAATGTCAGCTAAATATTTAATTTGACCTGTTAATTTAATATACATTTGGATTAGAAAGAAAAATTTGCATAAATTTTCTTAAAAGTTTAATAAAAAATATTGTAAAATGTTTTTTAATAAATAAAATGAATAATTTAATTAAAAAAAATTTTGCAAAAAATGTTGTGAAAATGTTTTTTAGATATTTAATTAAAAAAATATTTTATTGAAAAATATTATAAAGACATTTTTTATAATAATTTTAATTAAAAAAAATTTAAAATATTTTTTATAACAATTTAATTAAAAAAATAATTTACACTATTTTTTTGAAATTTTAATAAAAACATCATAAAAATATTTTAAATAGTTTAATTTTTTTTTTTTTTTTTTTTTTTTTT